AATAGTGTTGGAAAGAATTCATCATAATCAAACAAGGTAACTTGTTGTGATGTAAGATTTTTTCGAATATCACCGGATAATTTATTTAAATCGCAAAATAATCTAAATAATAAGAGAGTCTAGAAAATATCATTGCCTAAAAATAGATTAAAATCGAGTTTACTTGACATAATCATGTCCAACAAGGGCAAATGATAAGAATACGGGATTATATGGAATGTCAGCACCACGAAGATTGAATAACCCTACATAAAAAAGACAAAAAATATCGAAGAGAGCATCATTTCATGAAATTGAATCACTGTATCCATACACGCAACATCATCTGTCCGATGAACAATTAAATGTTGAACTTGATATTCTTTTAGTTTTTCACGAACTTTTGATAATTTTTCGGCTGTTGTTGAACCTGTAAAGAACGAGAACAATATTTACAATTTCTTATTAGAGTCGTATTAACTACCGGCAAATTTAACATCGTATTCCCAAATAGGTTCCTGTGGTAATTTTGGTCGTTCTTCCCAAATTAAATCAATTAAATTTTGATCAATAGCAATTAAATTTTTATCCGATTGACTCAACGTTTCTGTCCAATCTTTCCATTCACCTATAAATATCCAATGTCAACTTATTCAATGTGTTACAAAAAAAGAGAAGAAAACAGTTCCACTGACCAATTGAAACAAGTTTTGGATCACATGCTACATTTGAATTTGATTCTAAATTCTAAATGAACAATTAATAAATAATGAGTGGCCCAGAAAATACAGATCATTTTTGTTCGTTGAGCCCAGTAGTTCAAAGAGTTTGTGTCAGGCTCAATCGATAGAGAGATGAATTCTTCACAAAACCTGCTATTTGAATCTGTGATAGCATTTTTCTCGTTTGATCACCATTCAACATATTGAATGGTGCTGAGTGTCGAACTGCGACGTGCTTTTATCATCGATTTTTTTTAATTTTTAGTCCATTGACTGTGGTTCAATAGTTAATTTTTCTACGCAGAAAGATAGAGAATTTTGTGCTTTATCGATCTCATTCATTTATAACTTCATACAATGTTTCCGCTACGCCAGCTAGACTCATAATTAGGTCTCAATTGGCTTTTCGATGTTTTCAAATTGAATTAATTTTTTTAATTAATGATTTTAATTGAGAAACTTTGTTTATATATCAAAAGATGCAGAATTTAATTCTGTGCAAGATAATAAGAGTCAAGATCCTGGATTCAGAAAATTTTCCTGCTTTTATAACCCAAAAACTAAATTCTGTGAAAAATAGGTTCAAAAGTTAGATTTTTAAGATTCATCACTTTTTTTGTACAGAGAAATTTTCCTAGAAGACTTAACTGTAAAATTTTCGAAAAATATGTGCAAAGATACAGAATTTTCCGGGGAGTCTTCTGATATTTTCAAAATTCTTATGAAATCTATTCTTAGATCAAGGCAAGTATTTTTCTATTTTCAGTGTGTCGCAGTTCGTCAAATCAGCACCATTCAACATTTTTTAAATTGTGGTCAAAAAGAAAAATGCTATCAGAGATTCAGCTAGCCGATTTTGTAAAGAATTCAATTCTCTATCGATTGAGCCTGAAACAAACTCTTTGGACTACTGGACTCATCTTCAATAACAGCAAACAAAAGTGACTCGTTTTTTCTGAGTCACCCGTTACTCGTACAATATTGTTTTAGTAATACAATTCTAAATTCATACTCTAGCTAACCAATTTGTTATCGATAAAACATCTTTTGTTCCATCTTTCATTAATTTCCAATATTGTTTATCTAATTCTTGATCAGCTTGTAAAAAATATCGTCCATCTGTCCATAATAAAGCTTCATTCAATGTTACAACAGCAGTCCCATTTGAACCAGTAAAATTTGATAAAAAAGCTCGTCGTTGGAAACAATCAGCAACATATTCGTTCTAATATATGAGAAAAGACGAAGAATATTAACAACAAAGTTATGATATGTAATTGATCTACTTACTCTATGTGGATCAGTTGTTGGTACAATGTAAGCATGAATAACATCAGTAAAATATTTATTTGATTTCATTATGTCTCGTAAACGTCGTAGTAATGCACCGGTATCACGAATAGTAGCAGATGCCATCTTTTTTTTATCTAGAAAATAAATAACAACAGAATGTAATACACATTCGATTTTTAATGAACTAAAATTTCTTACAGACAGTATAAGTCAACTTTTATGATTAGACTTATAAATATGTAGAAAAAATAAAGTTTCTAATACTTTTATAATAAATGTTTTCAAAAGAAAATATGATTTCCGTCGCATTTTATTTACAAATAGTGTAACCTTAGAAATCACCCTAGCATCTGTGAAACAAAAACAAAGAGAAAAACAACCACATACGATAGTTTCATTTTTTATAAATAAAAGTTTCTAAACAAAGCTTCTTCATTCTGACGTCTGACTTACATTCATTCTGTATTTCATGTATACGAAGAGAAAGTCAAGCTATAGTTTCACTTTGTTCCTTTAGTTAACAACTGTCTAAAAGATGATTTAAACAAGATTTGAAAACGATTATATTAGAATTTTTTTCGATGTTTCTTCTACTTGAATCAATTTTTTACATTTTGAATTTGAAATCAAGAATTACATGACAATCTAACTAACTGATTGATATAGGAGAGATGAGGGAAGTTAGAATAGAAACTTTTTCTATTAGTCGTGTAGATCACAACGTTGACTTCTTAATGTTTGCATGTTGTCAGTAGAGAATAATCACATACGATAAAAAATACTAATAAAAATAATAAAATATAGAATCATCATTTTTGACATAACACGAATATTTAACTGTCGGATCTAATAATCTATTACAGATAATTCGCGTTTTATGTTCATAAAGGACTCATTCATCCCATACATCTAAACAAAATAATAAGAATTTTATCGAAGATGAATCATGTTTAATTGTTTTGCTTATTTCAATACTAGAAAAAAGAACAATAGATTCTATAAATCTCCTATGTAACATTTAAACTGTTTTCACTTTTAAATGATAAATATTCTAACGAATGACATTGTCTAATCAAATATTCATATTATACATAGTAGTGAAGGTCATTTAATCGATAAACCTTGACAATGAAATGATAAAGTTTCGATATTATTCAATAAACAAAATATGTTTTTCATAATATTTTGTATTTTCATATCGTCATATATATTTTCTGTTACTGATAAACTTATTAGCTATTTAAATTAGTATACTTTTATCAATGATCATGATTTCATTGCATTAATAGAAATAATACATTTTCACTGTTGATAAACATCTCTTCAACTAGTCAATTAATTAAACGAAATGTTTATAGACAACTCCTAGTAGGGCAACAGAGATTGGATGCGAGCGGATATATCAGTATTATCTTCCTAACATCTCTGCGACTGTTAACGGCGTGGTCAGTTAACTCTGCTACCGCAAGCGAATTCCGTGACGTTTTTTCTTCAGTTTGTTATGTTGGTAAACGCCCAGAATAAATGTCTCATTTAGTATTTTATCAATATCTCGGTCAA